TAAGATTAGTAGCGATCAAAAGCGCTTTTTTATCGCATTAAGCCTATACCCCCTTTCATTTTTCGCGAACACTCCCTTTAAGGATACCGTATACATGTTTAAAATCAGGCATATGCTATCTTTAAATAGACGGCCAATTTAAATTAAGGTTAAAAGTTTGATTCTACAATACTATAGGACCTTATTATAAAGCATTCTTTAGTTTCTATGTCATGTGGATCTACAATTTCTCAGAACAACACCTACCATGTGATATCCAACTTCAACACAGTTACTGATCCTTCACCTTGTACCTATACAGTCTGTCCAATGAACAACAATATCTGCAAAATAAGACTAGACTTTGAGGTAAAGAAAACTTAGAATAAATCTTGATTTATTTTATTAGGGTTTCTGTTATTCTCTACAAAGATATGTTTTTCATGAAGTTTATATCCCTTTCAGAGAATCAAAATCTGACAACTGAAAATGGGTCCAAACAAAGTTTTATAATTTGATACAGGAAAAAGTAGTCAGTTAGGCAGTGTGCCTTAGGACTTCATGCAGGCAGTTAGTATAAAAGCCCGGTTTAAGACCTGAAAGTGAGGATGGCTATAGGTATTTAGTAATGTAAAAAAAACTGTAGGTGGGGTCAATTCGCCCCCACCCCCAGCAGGAATATGGTTGAGATACAACATTTTTTACTTTATTAGACATTTCATCTCCATTTTGATAAAGTACGTCTTCATGTTTGATTTGTAATCATGATCATTTTCCTCCTTTTATTTGTTTTCGTTTTTTAGACTTTTACTATCAGTGGTCCAGCAACTACAACTCTTAATACAGCTGATGTAATCATTGGTCCATCTATAGGAGACTGCACTACAGACTCATTCACAGGTAAACATTTTATTCTTCACAGACCAGCACTGCAGGTTTTTAACTGTTGGAATATGAATAAAACAGGTCCAAATAGTGAACCCAGTATTTGATTGACACAACGCGTTTTAAGCAACAGAATAAGGCCACATTACTTTATTTATTGCATGATCCGAGCCGGTACAACATGTACTGTACATGCATTCAGTCGTTAACTTGTCCAGTCTGGACTATCCAGTGTAAAGTCATCCCAGCATGTTTTGTGTAATAAATGTAGTCTGGTGAGATCTTTTTCTTTTATCTAAATATTTATTCGTGTAAAGCAATAGTTTGACATAAATGTTTATAAACAAAGTCCCCGGGGAACGACTGCGGAGTGCAATTCAAAGTTAAATAGTTATAAAAAATGAAAAAAATGTTGTTTTTTAAACAGCAAAATTAATAAATTTTTTGATTTAAATTGCATAAAAGACATAAACAAGCTTTCAAAAACCTTTTATCAAAACATAAAAAATCCAAAACAGAATTCAGTTCCAAGAGTTCTAAACTAATGGCTACTGACCTGATTGTTCTGAGGATTTATCTGACCCTTCAGAAAAGTTTGCACGTGCCCAGCGCTACTTTTACCCTATGTTATTTAGACTACTCAGACTAAGCAAAGTTCTGACGAATTACTGAAATGTTATGAAATAATATAGTAACCGCCCCTGGAAGTAGATCCCCACCAACTATTTGTGGACTGAACACTGGACAGCATATGTATCTGGATTCAAGCTCAGCTTGCAACATCCTCTCCTTTAACATAGGTAAACCTTGTAAAAGCACACAATGTTTGATAGATATACACCGAGAAAGATTTTCCAATGCACAGTGTAGTAAATAGTTAATTTGCAGTAAGTAAATGAGGAACTTTTGCATTTACAATATCACTATCACTAAAGTATTATACTTTTTACATAAGTATTATACTATAGCATTGGTATTATAAAGTTACTATGAGAGATAGTAATATATTGCACCTGACTTTTCAATTGCAATATCACTACAATGCATTGGAATTTGTTTTCAGCGTAATTTTTTTTTATATTGGGCATCATAATACAGCATGGAATAGGAAAACAGTTAGTCAATAGTGAAACTTTGAAAATAAGTTTGACGATAAAAATCCCTGGTAAATATTTTTTTGATTTATAAAGCTTGTTAGTCAATTGCAGTCTGCAACATCTGAAGCCATCTTAGTTTTGTCAATTAACTATTCTAGTCCAATCGTTTGAGACAGTATGATTTCCTTTAATTACAAATATATATTCTAAGTGAATAGCAGCAATAAGAACAGTGCAAATAGATTATATTTTTTCAGACAGAGCCACCACTGTAACTAGAAGTTGGAGGGTAAAGGTTACTCAGTACGATTGTGGAAGCGATGTTCCTGGAATAGGTAGATTTTCTTAAACTCTGGAAATTTCTGCTGAATGATATACAATTTGAAGTTCATCATTGATGTTTAATATCTAATACCGCGATTTGAATTTTAAATGACGTGTATATATAAAGTTTTTATATATTTATTTTTTGTAGTTGAAGATTGTCTGCAGTACTTCACAGGACTCTCTGGCACTATAAGAAACTTCAACTATGATACTACTAAAGTTGATTCAGCTCTGGCAACTGCAAACACTCATCTTTCAAACCAAAACTACAATATCTGCTTTAGGTGTGTTTTACCTTACAGTTCCTGCTGTGAGACCCATAGCTATTTTACTATTACCCTGTTTAGAAAGAAAAATAGCGTCTTTAGGACTCAAAGAAGTTCGTAGTAAGATTTCAATTCTACTGGAGACCACCGGAGGGATTTTATTTTCACTGGAGGGGTTTCAAAAAATGCTTTTTACAATTTAAAACTTTACGCAGGGTGATTTACATTCCACTGGAGGGATTCAGATGTCCTTCCTGGGGGGTTATAATTCCATTGGGGGGATTCAGTTATCCTTCCTAGGGGTTTATAATTCCACTGGAGTGACTCAGATATCCTTCCCGGGGGTTTATAATTCCACTGGAGGGATTCAGATATCCTTCCTAGGGGTTAATAATTCCACTGGAGGGATTCACACAAGCACATTTTGATTTATTGTGCATGCTCATTACTGCATAGAAGAGGCTCGTCCCGCCTAGCAAATCTGGGAGGCTTGTGTCTGCATAGCGGAGGCTCATGGTGTCCGGGGGTTCCCTCCCTTGCTGAGCCGGTTCTGCCGTTCTCGGCAGTGACGTTAGGCATGTGCATTTCGAGCAAACTGTCCTTTTTTCAGGATTGAATCCTGAATTCTTCTATTTTTAAGTTATAGTTTTGTTTGAAAAAAAATAGTTAAAATGGCTACAATGTAATAATTTAAGGAACCCAAAAGAGATCATGAAATGAAAAATCTAAATCAAAATTTAAGGCCAGATAAAATAACCATCCCAGCCTTAATTTTAAAAAAGTGTTTTTTTTTCTTTAAAACCATTTATAGTGAGTGATTTCCAATATCCATTAAGGTTATATTGTTTCTAATATTCAAGTTTAAGAAAGGATAACTGAATCCCTTCAGTGGAATTATAAACCCCTTGGAAGGATAAATGAATCCCTCCAGTGGAATAATAAACCCCTAGGAAGGATAACTGAATCCCTTCAGTGGAATTATTACCCCCCTGGAAAGATATCTGAATCCCTCCAGTGGAATTATAAACCCCCTGGAAGGATATCTGAATCCCTCCAGTGTAATTATAAACCCCTTGGAAGGATAACTGAATCCCTCCAGTGGAATTATTACCCCCCTGGAAAGATATCTGAATCCCTCTAGTGGAATTATAAACCACCTGGAAAGATATCTGAATCCCTCCAGTGGAATTATAAACCCCTTGGAAGGATAACTGAATTCCTCCAGTGGAATTAATACCCCCCTGGAAAAATATCTGAATCCCTCCAGTGGAATTATAAACCCCAAGGAAAGATATCTGAATCCCTCCAGTGGAATTATAAACCCCTTGGAAGGATAACTGAATCCCTCCAGTGGAATTATAAACCCCTTGGAAGGATAACTGAATCCCTCCAGTGGAATTATAAACCCCCGGGAAGGATATCTGATTCTCTCTCCAGTGGAATTATAAACCCCTTGGAAGGATAACTGAATCTCTCCAGTGGAATTATAAACCCCCAGGAAGGATATCTGAATCCCTCTAGTGGAATTTTTACCTCCCTGGAAAGATATCTGAATCCCTCCAGTGGAATGTAAATCACCCTGCGTAAAGTTTTTAATTGTAAAAAGCATTTTTTCAAACCCCTCCATTGAAAATGAATTCCCTCCGGTGGTCTCCAGTGGAGTCAAAATCTTACTACGAACTTCCGTGACTCCGTCTTTAGTGGTTTTTAATTTAAATCTTAATTTTAACTTTTAAGAATTATCTTTAAACTTGACATATATTTACAGGCAGGAGAGAGGTTTCTGCTCAATATGTTTCAGTCCAGTTATTACCAATTCATTCTCAGTAAGGTAACAATAGTTTCAGCCTAGTAATTCTATTATTAATATGTTGCATGTTAATATTATGCAATGATACTGTAGCTTTCTTCAGGTGCAGTTAGTAGCAGTAATTGCTTAGCAATAGAGAATATTTTTGCCTTTTTTGTTTTTACATTTACCAGGCCAAATCTATTCATGAACAATGTAAATTAGATGACTGGTATGAAACCTGTGTGTATTTGCACATTATAGAAATTATGAATTTACATGGAAATTGTAAATTCTCTATATAAAAGATAAACAAACTTGTGTATGTAGTAAATGCCGTACTCTTAAAACTTCGTCCCAAACTGTAACAGTCCAGGTACAACTGGTCCGCTATCAAGGTCAACCAGGGCACAATCCACAAGGCTACAATCCCGTGAACTATCAACACCACAATCACTGCGCGCGATCTTGGCGGCCATTAAACAAGTCAATACTCAGGCTCTAATTGCCAAACAGGGACACAAGCCTAGCTATCAAACAAGCTATTACTCAGGCTTTAAATTCCACACGGGGACACAAGCATAGCTTTCAAACAAGCTATTACTAGGCTCTAAATGCCACACAGGGACACAAGCGTAGCTATTAAAAAAGCTGTACATCGATCCCAAATAATGGGGACAATCCAGTGCTCTAATTGCCACACAGGGACACAAACCTATCTATAGAACAAGCTATATATCGATCCCAAATTCGAGAGGACAACCTGTAAAATTGTACATCAGACAAATATTTCTTATAGAAATGTAGTACAGTCTGCAAAGCATGTATAATGATATTGTTGTATCTCCCTTCCCAAAAAACAATTTTGCGGAAAATCCGCAGAAATTCCCAGGAATCTTTCACAGGAAAATTCGGAAAAATGTCGACAGCTATTCCGAGGAATTTCTCGTAACCCTTTCCGAGGAACCAGGTCCCGGGAATTTCTGTAACCTATTCCAAGGAATTTCTTATAACTCTATCCAAGGAATTTGATGTAACCAATTCCAGGGAATTTGTTGTAAACAATTCCAGGGAATTTGTTGCAACCAATTCCAGGGAATTTGTTGTAACCAATTCCAGGGAATTTGTTGTAACCAATTCCAGGGAATTTGTTGTAACCGATTCTGCAGAAAAACCGGAGAAAATGTTGTAATTGAATAATATTTAGTTTAGCAGTTTGAAGGCTATATCCTGAAATTACTTGATTAAAGATTCAACTGTGTTCTTGCTTTTCAGCATCTAGGGCAATTTGACTAGAGCTGAAAACTTTAGAACTGTGGATATTGAGATCAATGCTTGATCTCTTCTTTTATTAATCTCAAGATGAATTTCATCTTTATAGTTTGTATCCAGAAAAGTGCATAAAATTCAACCAATGAGAGTGTCGTATAGAAGCCGGGAAATTTGAAATTTTGCGCTCTCTAATTTTGAAAAACCAGTTTTTGATATTTCTGATCTTTTGGTGTCATATCAATTGAACTAACAAAAGTTTGGACAAATATTTTGACAAACGGTCAAAAGTACTAACTATAGATCTTTTTAAAAGATATTATCAGTGTAACACTAACAGCCCGGCATTTGGACAGGATACAGCGCTGGCGCCGCTCAATAGGCTGCATATCTCCATAAAATGACGATGCCCCAGGCGATAAAATATATATTTTAGTAAATTCATTTAAACGCAATGAATTTTCATATTGTTCGAGTGCTTTGATGTTCAAATGCTCTCAAACCTGCTTAGTGAACAGCTGACTTTGTTCAGATGAACTTTTGTTCAATCTGATTTAGTCCAATCGATACAGCATCGTATCGGCATTTGTTATCAATCTTAACTTAAAAACTGTAGGAATATCCAAAAAAAGCGGATTAAGCAAGAAATCAAAAGTTGTCCTATTGAATACCCAGATTAAATAATCAGGTTTAAAGGAAGCCAATTCTTTAGTTTTCAGTCTGGCACATATATTGTGAGAATATTGAATGGTCCATAATTAGGGCTGGGCAAAGTTCCATCAACAAGAAGGAGGTTTTCGACAATTAATGGAAGAGTCCGTTGACAAACGACAAAAAACGTTAATTTTTAAATCATATGAAAAGAGGTAGCCGTTTTGGAATAAAAAATTAAAAGTCAAAAAAGAAAACACAACGTTATAAAATCTTTAATAAACGGCAACTTTCGTTCATTTTTTCGACTTAAATTGCACAAAGTTTGCAACAACAAAAAATATTTTAATGCATTTTTATGTTTTTTAAATTTCGACTTCAGTCTCCCCAATTTTAAACTCTAGCTAATGAAACATTTGGATTATACAAAATGCATCTTAAACCGAAAACAAAATCATTTTAAAGATATATATTTTAACTAATTTCTTATGTTTTTTTCGGGACACACTGTAAATATGATTATGCTTTCGTTTATTGCAGTGCCAGCGGTAATGATGCTGAGGCTCAATCCGCTATATCATCATTGTGCACTGGATCAGGTGCATATGGAGATTATATTGAGGTAATAAACATCTTTGGTGATTATATATTGAGGTAATAAACATCTTTGGAGATTATATATTGAGGTAATAAACATCTTTGGTGAGTATATATTTGAGGGAATACACATCTTTGATGAATATATATTGAGGGAATACACATCTTTGAAGATTATATATTGAGGTAATAAACATCTTTGAAGATTATATATTTAGGTAATAAACATCTTTGGTGATTATATATTGAGGTAATAAACATCTTTGGAGATTATATATTGAGGTAATACACATCTTAGGAGATTATATATTGAGGTAATACTGTAATATTTAAAGTATGAATGACTCATGGCAAGAAAACTCTCCCCTGGCCTCACACCATCATCTCTTTGTTCTTTTAATAATGCAGAAGAATTAAACTGAACGGATTCATTAGGATTCAACAGTGCACCCCAGATCCTTAAATAGAACAGACGTATGAGCCAAGCTCCATTTGTTCAAACAAGGCTGAGGGACGGGCACTTCATGGACAGCTCTCAGAAGGCTTACAACATGTGGACTTACATAATTATATGATTTTACATCATCATATCTTCAGGAATACACTAAACCATTGATGAGACAGATATCTCAGGTTATAACAGATCAGAGGAATAAACCATTGATGAGATAGATATCTCAGGTTTACAGTAGAATCAGAGATATGTGGTTCCACCTCAACACAGCTAGTCCAACTACCCACACACTCTAATATTCCAGGTGTTTCTATGATTAGAAACACTGGAGACTCAGAAGATCACTAGAGCTACAGAACAGACAAAAGAATCAGAGAAATGTAGTCTCACCTATATACAGCTGGTTCAACTACCCACACACTCCCATGTTCTAGGTGTTTCTATGGTTATAAACACTGGAGACTCCGAGAGGGCTTGAATTGCAGATATGGAGGATACTGCAGATACTGTGGATACTGCAGATATTAGGAATGCTGCAGGTACTGTGGATACTGCGGATATTGAGGATACTGCAGATATTGTGGACACTGCAGACATGGAGGATAATACAGATACTGTGGAAGTTGCATATACTGTGGAGACTAGAGATCCAGAGCAGATTGATAGATAGCTAGGATTGATCAGGAGATCACCAGTTATATTATCTATAGAAGGATTAGCTGAGACCACATCTAGCCCAGCAGGGAACAGAGGCTCAGATGAACTACTGAGGGACTCTTCCTATATAGGAGTTAGTGGAGACTTGCTTTACCACTGAGGGAGTCAGTGCGACTGA